CTGTTCTTGGCAGCCCCATCCACTTTTCCAGCCTACCTGTAATATAGCCTGAACAGCTGAGATTGGTGTCCACTTTGAGCAAGCCATATATTTAGGTGGAAATAGGAGTCCACCATCAACCCCTATCTCTGTTCCTTGAATGCCTGGTTTCTGTGAGAGCCTGTCTCTGCCAGCAGGAAGCTTCCAAATGTCCCAGTGTTCTTCAGTTCTGCCTGGCTCAGCAACCTTCCTGTCATGTTTCATTTCCTCCAGTTAGAATGTAAAATTTTCCTCCCTGGTCCTCTCTCAGATGTTGTTAATGCTTCCTCCTCAAAATTCCTGCTTCCCCTCCTTTTTGTCTATATAGCACTCTTCTTGTCTAAGCTGCCATAATGGATCATTTAGGTCATGAAATCAGCCCTCAATGAAATTCTTGACTCATGTTCCCATGGCCCTCATACCCAGCCTCCATATGGCAGCAGTAGGAGTGACTTTTACCTACACTTTTGTCTGTTCATCTCATCCTCCTCCTTGGAACTCTTTAATGACTCCCTGAGTGTTTTTCAAGGGGGAAAGTCAAACTCCTTAATTTGGCTTATAGGTCCCGCACAGTCTGACCTCCACTGGCGTCCTTGGTACCACCTCTCCTCTATCCTGCTGAACATTTGAGCCAGGCTAGCCTTCTTGCAGTTGCTCCACTGAGCGCTGTTTTCCTCAGGGACTTCACATATGCCTTTCTTCTCACTTAGAATATTCTCTTCCCTTCAGCTAACCTATTCACTTTTGGGTTTCAGGCAACAGGTTACTTTTTTTTTGGAAAAGGCTCTCCTAGCCCTAATTAGGTAGATCAGGTATCCCATGGGATTCCCGTATCCTATGGGACTCATCTGCCGTGTTGTACTTCATTGTGTCACAGCACTTGACCCAATGTATCACAATTAATGTCTGACTTAGAAATATTTGGAATTCGATGTGCACGGCCATGTCTATTTACCCTCTAGAACCTAGCATGGGGGCCTGGTACTTTTTGTATATTTTTCAAGGAAATGATTCCCTTTAGACATTTCTAGCATGGTTCTCAGCCACTCACACTCTCCTGCCCTGCATATCAGGCTGCTCTACCCCACTGAAGGCCTTTCTAGTCTCCAAACACATTAGACATAGATCACACCTCTTTGTCTTTGCCCATACCAGTATTTCTGCCCGAAATGTCACACCTCGCCCTTTGTCTAACACACTTGAACTTATTTAAGCCTCAGCTCAAGTTTCACCTCCTGGGGGAAGCCTGTGCTTGAAGGGAACCATTAAAGTAAAGATTTATTCTAGTCAGAGTAATTCTTAGCTCATTTTTCATCATTAATGCTTTATTATACTGAAGTTTCTATCTCCAGCCTTCATCACACTCCTCCAACACTCTTCTGGATGCTTGCAGCTCCTTGCAGCACCTCCAGCACAGCACTGCCTTAAGGCCTTAGAGTGTGTGTGCTTGTGTGTGTTTTGTGCATGTGTGTTAATGTGTGTTCATGTGCGTGCATGTGTGCATGTGTGTGTGCACAAGTGTGCATGTGTGTGTGCATAAATGTGTGCATGGGTGTGTGTGTTTCTCCCTCCCTTAGATGATGTAGGAGGACATTGTATAACCACAATTCCTCTCTGTCCCCCCAGACCCTTTGTAAGGAGACTTTGGCTCATTTCTTCAATTAAAGTGAGACATAAATTCTGTCCCTGCCCCCACCCTTTGTCTTTTTCCTGCCAGTGTACCCACTCATTACTGAGACAAGCCAGGGCTGCTTCTCTTTCAGGAAACATCATTTTCCCAATTAGCCTTTGATTGGAAACAGTGCCATTTCAGCCAGGCTGCTTCCAGGGCCTGTTGATGATGGCAGCCGGCTCCTATGGAAAGAGCACTGAGTCGGGAGTCAGGAGTCCTCAGTGCTAGGCATCTCTGCCTCTGTGTTTGGGCATGAATATATTATTTATATTCCCCAGGCCTCCATTTTTTTCTCTTCTAAGCAAAGTGGGTCTTGATCTTAGTATTTTGCTACTGAAAGCGCGACCCACGGATTAGAAGTGTAGAAAATTAATGAGTAGCTCATGAAAACTGCAGAACCTGATTTCCCCACATCTAAATCCGGCTTTACATTTTACAAGCTGCTCAGATGATACCATCCACAGCAAAGTTTAGGAAGTGCTATAAAATCCCCAGGTAAAATAGCCACTGAAGCTCTTTCACACTGTACAGCTATCCAGCCTGCTGGACAGTCTAATGCAGTTGGATTGAGATGAGATCCTGGAACTGGTCTTTGTAATAACTCCTCCATGTAATTTTACCCCAAGAAACTTAGGAAAACATTAGATGAATGGCTTATAAAGCCTTGCCCACCTTTGACAGTCTGCAATTCTATATGCATTGTTTCATTTCGGGATGGGGGAGGTCATGGCCCTTAATTCAGAAATGTAGGGCTCACCCTTCTCTAGGTCCATGAGAGCATTCTCAGAACTATTCATGGGTACACAGGCAAGGAAAAGAAAGGATTACAACAATGTAAGCTGACTCTTCTTGATTGGGGAAAATGTTTGTTTCAAGGAGAAATTACTTTCCTACTTAAAGCTATCTCCTTGAGGCAGTCAGGTTTGATATAATCAAGCCACCTGAAAGACTTTCTTAGCATCGTAGCGAACTGAAAAGGAGGGATTAAAAATGAAGGGGTGCTACTTCTCCCATACTCCCCCAGAGGTGGGGGAGTACAGACGAGCTGACAAGGAGAGCTCGGGAAAGCCTCTCCTCTGAGAGAATCCTACTTTCCACACCCTTAGCGCAGATGTGTGGCCCGACAAGGGATGTTTTCCAATTTGTGAGTATATTTATGGAAATTCTTTTTTAGAAATGTATAAAAACAAAATCACATTTAGTTATATGTTTAACAAATCACCTTTATTTGGAAAAGGAGGGGAATTACATAAGATCAGGCCTGCCCTGGAAAGTGCAGGATAGAAATTTGCCAGTTTTTCTCCATGTTTGGGCTTGTTTTTCTTATAAATATGCCTTGAGTTCCGTTGCTGGTAGGTTTTGGCTCCATGTGCCATTTAGACAGGTGGAGAAATGTGGAAGGGCATTCAGAGGGTATTTTTCTAGGCAAGTAAAGAAGGATAGACTGTGTCAGCAGGAGTGAAGTGTGAATGAGCATTGTAGCGCCAGGGCTGAAGTCAGGGGAGGAGGTAGGTGAGAGGCTACTGAGCTGTCCAGAACAGAGGAAACTCAGGGAACGGGTTGGGGGGGGGGAGGTGCAGGCTGAAATGATCAAGCCTAGACTTTCTCTCCTCTCTTTTCCCCATGTCTCCCATATTCCAATTGGTCCACCAATTTCTGATCGTCTTACATTCACAATTCCGTCATCACCGCTACCCCACCACATCTCTGGTCATCATCTCAGGTCCTCATCTTGACTCCTTAATATAGCTGGGAAGAAGTATTCTTTATTTATGTATGCTTTGTCTTTAATTTTACAAACTTCTCTCTTAAAAAAATGACTTTAGAAACTATGAAAAATAAGTCTCTTTCATCTGATATTTACGTAGAGATGCAAACACTGAACCCAAATGGCACATAGGATCGTGCAGTCTAGTTAAGTCTTATGGAATTCACCAGAGCCGGGAGCTGCCAAATGAGGGAGGACTTCAGAACTCTCTTGTAGGACTAGTTCACCCTGAAGCAATGGGTCCTATTCTCAGAGTTCCTGGTTTAGTCTCTGTAGAGAGGGGCCTAAGGCTGCGCATCACCTACATACTTCTTTGGCTGTACTGATGAACAATTCCTCAGCTTTAAAGTGGGTGATACATGAGGAGTGAGAAGGGACGAGATTAGGTGGCCTTAGAAAAAAGCTCCCTTTAAATACCAAAAACCCGATTTTTACAACTTAGCCCATACCCATTTTGACATTTCTTCATTCTATTAGGCTAAACCAGTGTTTGCCACAGGCTGGAATTTAAAAGAAAGATAGATTTGATGTGAAGCCCTTGTAGGATTAGTCATCTTAAATTTTGTTTTATTGGGATATTGAAGACAAATATCTATTTGCATCCATACCCATTTTTTGCAAAAAGAATATTTTCAATACTTAAAATATGAAAAGGATATGGTTTCAAAACTAAATATAGTACTTTAAATTAACTACATTGCTTCTATAAAGCACACATATGCATACAATGCTTAACTGATTTTTCTCTTTCTACTAGAGGTAGAAAGAAATTTTTATTTAAAGAGACCTAGTAAGTCTTCATATTTTTTTTACTTGAATTAGAAATACCAAGGAGTTGCATCTTGCTCAACCTTGTCTCCACCAGACTGATGCTCATGGGATATGTTAAATACTACTTGGGGGAGGAATTCTTAATCTTCTCAGTCCTGGAGAGTGTCTATGTTTGCTTCTTCAACAAAGGCTAAGCAGGCACTGTATGGTTCGCCCTTACAGAATTGTGTTGATCAAAGTGGTCCTGAGATCTTAACCTCTTCTCTGTGTGCTATTTTCTCCCACACTTTCACCAACCTCTCCCCAAGCCTTGTTAAGATTTGATGGGAGAAGTGAGTAATTTATGCCCAAGAATGAATCTGATACTTATGAATTCAACATCTATGTGTTCCTTCTCCTAGAGTGACTGTGTCAGTAACTACCTAACGGAGAGTAATAGTGTTTTCAAGAATTGTGAAATCGTTCTACAGTTGGAAAACACAGTAATAGAATTTGTCTCTTATTTGGTGACACAGATCCACCTTAGCCAAAATATTTTATATATCAAAAGAGATTTGCTTCCTGGTCAACTATAGAGATCCAAGATCTTATATGTTCAGTCATGTTGTGCTGTTAATTATGGTGTTTCCATCATGCATTGATTCTCAGTTTCCTCATCTATAAAATTAAGGGGTTGAACAATCTAATGTCTAACTTTCCTTCCAGCTCGGACATTTTGTGGTTATATGATCATTGGTTTGATGATTAAAAAAAGAGAATGCCAGCCAGAAATATTGAAATCAAATTTTATTTTTGGAAAATGACATTACACACATCTTGCAAATGTATACAGAAATGAAAATGCGATGGAGAACAGAGCTTGAGAGCCAAAAAGGATCACAAGAGCAGCTTCTTGGCTGCCCAGCATTGAACACTGCAGATGCACAGTGTTCATGGTTCGCAACACCTCACACACATGGGGGAACTTCCCTAGGCAACCTTGAAGTCCTCAAACCAAAGAGCCCTCGTCAGATTATGGTGGGGGAGATTAACGGTCACGGGAGATTTAAAGGGTCTGCTCTAACCAGCTTACACGGGCCTTGCCTAACATACCAGTCCAAGAGAAACTAGTAAACCAAAAAGAGAGTGTTTTCTTGAAACACTGCCTTCACATCACTCCCAGTCCAAGAGTGTGCCGTGTTGCCAGGGGGAAAGACAGCAATGCATCTAAATCCATCACGCCATTGCCTTTGCTGGCTGAGGAGTAGCTGAAACCCCTATCTTTCTGCTGCATGTCTCTCTTTTGCTTTTCTTTTTCCCAGAAAATTATTGGTCACCAGCCTTCTGATGTCTTCGTATACCTCAAAACTAATGCAGGGATCAAGGACATCTTTGGGTTGTGTGATTCCAAAAATTATTCAGTTCTATAATGTAATCTGGCAACCAGAGATACTCCCAGTTTTCCTCTGGTGTTTATGTAAAGGAGCGGTGAGTTCTTATCACCATGCCATTCCTTGAGAGGTGATCAATAACTTCTGAGAAACCGTTGTAAAATTCTTTTCAACCTTTCCTCCCCTTTTTTGGTTTATTTGCTCTTTGCTGAGTTTACTTGGCAGGAATTCTTGGCCCCTAAATCAGTTATTTACAGTTAATTGTAAGATATCTGGGAGCAGGGAGTGGAGCGAGGAAAGAGGGCCACATGGGATAATATAGTCTTTTCAGAGGCTAAAATGAGTTATTTAAGAAATGTGATGTACAAGACCATGCATTTACTCTCCAAAGGTAGTCACTAGCAAGCTAACACCTCTAACACTACAACCACCAATTACAGCTGTTTTGCTACAGGTACTCAATTCTAACTACAGCTATAGGGCAGAAAGGGGGGGCTGTTTCCATTTTAAACTTTCTCCCTCTGAAAATGGCCATAAAAGCATTTTCTGTACAAGTTTAATGGCACAAAAAGGTAACCAAAAACATTTTAAATTTACTGCACATGAAAAATGCAAACTCCAGTCTCAAACCATGCATTATATGTATACAAGTCGTAAAGGGTTGTTGACTTAATGCTGCAACATAATATACTACCAAACATCGAATGTATTTTAGCATAACCTCTTACTTTCTCAACCCCCTTTAAAAGAATTTATAAAGAAAAGTCACTGGAAAATTGGACAATGCATAAGTATTGCCAAGTAGTGACGTTCTCCGGAATTGTGTACTTTGCTGAATTAATTAGCAGACTTCTTAAGCAAGCTAATTACTCATAAATGGGCTGCCTGTGCTAGATCATAAATAGTTAGTGTTAAAAGGAAAATGTTTAGGTAAATCTAGTATCAGAAGGACAAATGCATTCAACTAAGTAGTTTCTTCTGTATCCTGAATTTGTTAAATACTCTTTTGGCTTAAATTGAACCCAATTGCCTACTAGTCTAGCTTAAACAATTCAACAGGCAGAAAACAGATCATAATGTTATAACAGAGAGCTTAAGGAGTAGTGGTAAAAGTTTAAACAAATTGTTCCTGCTTCCCCTCCGCACTCGGCCTAAGCAAATGACAAGAACAATTGCCTGTGGTCTCTCATGATATTATATTGCAGCTTTTTAAAACTATGAGTAAATTAAATGAAATCAACTAAGACTATCAAGCCAATTTGAATGGATGGGTGGATTTTTTTCCTGTTCAGTTGATTATGTATCTGAGCACACTACAGCGTTGCACGAAATGGCAGACTAAAAATGAAACACAAAGTGTTCTGTACAATGCTTGCTGAGAAGGTAAAGACCTAAACATCCATGAGCTGTGAGAGCGATGTTCGAAAAGATCTGCTGAGACTAAAACAGAAAGGAAGAAAGGGCCAGAATCGCATTGATTTTCTCAACCTACTTGTGGCTGAATAGGGTAGGACCTGAAATTGTTGAGACTGAAAATAATTTCTCTTCAATCCCAAGGCAAAACTTAAAAGCTAAGAAAGAGGCATATGCCCAGTGGTGAGTCAAGGAAGAAGTGAAAAGATTTCAAAAGAGAGGGAAGGACTGTATGAATTAAAGAATGGGTGTCTTTTTTTTTAAAAAAAGAAAACTATGGAATGAGAGATTCATAACAGTTTAGACTGAGAATGAAAATGGGCACATCGATGGGAAAAGGAAGCAGCAAGTAGAACGACAAAAAGCCACTTATTTCCTCGAGTTATTGCCCAGAAATGAGACATTCCAATGCCTTCACGTCTTTGCTTTAGTTTACAAGATTTTCTTTTCTGACTTCGGTGTTCTATTTGACCTTTTCCAATTCACCTGCCCTTCTAACCCAAGCAGGAAAGTGCCTTATTTTCCAATGAGAATTCTCTACTCCCCTAGATCCAAGTAACTCAAATAGGGAGAACAAAAATTACTTCTAATTCTGGAAGATTTTGACATCAGTAAACTAAGAAACACTTTGCTTCCCAAATGCTAGCCAGTCTCACAGCAGCTTGGTCAAAGCGTGAGCTCTGTATTGATCCTTAAAGAGGAGATATGCGAAGCAAACCTAAAAGGCTAGATGGAGAGAAGAGATGAGGCCTTTGTGTGATGGTTAAGGAAACCCTGTTTTGTAGCCAAGGAAGATGACTCTCTAACCAAAAAGGCAGCACGAAAAGTCAGTGACCTCTCATTGTTCCAGGTGGCTATGCTTTTAAGGAAGAGGAAATTCTGCGGGATTCCCAGAACAGTGAGTGATACTACACATGTGGTTTCAGTAGGGCAGAGGCAGAAGCATGGCAGTTTCTAAATTCCAGACAAGGAAAGAAATTCAGGAATCCTAGCATTTTCAGGGTTCTTATGCTACAAAAGAAGTCCTATATGACCTCTGACATATTTTAAATGGCCAGGTCAAAACTCAATCTTTCTTCTAAATCATAGGACTATAGATACTCCTATTTCCCTATATGAGCTCCAGACATCCCTGACCTTCCTTTTAAAAAAAAATAATTAATTTTATTTTATGTTAATTGGTGTTTTACCTGCATTCATGTCTGTGTGAGGATTTTAGATCCCGGGAAATGGAGCCACAGACAGTTGTGAACTGCCATGTGGGTGCTGGGAATTGAACATGAGTCCCCTGGAAGAGCAGGAAGTACTCTAAAAATGCTGAGCCATCTCTCAATTCCCAGCCCCTGACCTTCTTAGGAAACCAGTTTGAACCTAGAAGCTAAACCTCTTTATATAGGGAAGGCAATGTATAAATGAGGTCTAGATGTGGTTCCAAGTGACTTCGTGTGCCCAAGAACAAGCTCCAATCATTGCTTAAAAAAGAAAAGATAGATATCCATTGCTTCTATTTCCATAGCAAACTAGACCGCTGTGAAGAAAGTCAGTGAAGCTACATTGTCATGGGGCTTCTGCTAGAGAAGTCTCGTGACACAGTTGTTTCTGAGGCATCCTAGTCTCTTGAAACATTCTTATCACTGCAGAAGCTCATTTGGGACACAAAGACATGCTACTTCTCCCATCCCAAGGAAATGGGGTTTATATTACTTCCTTGTTTTCTAAAAGGGAAACATATTTGCAATCAAATGTGAGAGGGAATGGTGGAGTCTCAACCTAGGATGTTGAAGAGACTGGAGATAGAGACACAATTTTATGTAGACCAAGCATTGTGTTGCTTGCCTTAAACTGGTGATGGATGATTCTAAGAAGTATCTAGGATATAGAAGCTACACACCCACTTTAGGATTCCTTGGTCGTGCCCAACTTGAAAGGGGGAGAAAAGAGAAATTCCTGAACTTGGGTAAACCTAGTAAGAAGTCTTCTAGAGCTCAATTAATATTAATGAGATTCCCGAGATCCTTGCTGCAAGGAAACCCACACGTACAGATCATGTTGTCCTAATTTATGTCATGGAAAACCACATTAATAGGCTACACAAAGACCTAGGATAAAATGTGCAAAGTTATTGTGTGCTATTTTGGTAGAAGCACAAAGAACCAATATTTAATGGTAGCCAGGGCACAGTTTAGTGACAAAACCACTTGTATATACTTGAAAATTGTTTCCATCAGGACAGCATGGCTATGGGGACATTTGAGATTGAGTACTAAAACAAGACTTGATTATATTTCTCTAGCTTGGCTCAGTACCATATTTTAAAGAAATCGTTGATAGTAGAAATGGTAGCCAGGCTAGTTTTTAAAATGTCAAAGAAAAAGTCATCTCAGAAAGTCAGGATAAACAAATATATTGCTCTATTCTTGATTTCTTATTTTCTCTGTTCTGGAAAGAAGAAACCACTGTCTTATCTTGAGAGAAACAATGAGTGTGAAATGGCATAGAAGGAAGCTGATAAGGAAAAAAAGTAGTCATTTTCCATTCCATTTGAACAGAGAAGTAGTTTGGTGGGGGCGGGGCTACTTCAGTGGGGGCAGGGTTATTGAGAGATTTCTCAAGTCGGGATTTCTCTGGTCCTCCATGCCTCTCTCTCTTCGGGGCTGTCTGCAACCCATGTGGATCAAACAATGAGAATGTGAAGAGGAAGGACCAGATTCGGTTGCTGAGATGAACAAAGTAGCATATGAAACCAGGATGCAACAGGACCCTGGGAAAGAAGATTCAGGAGCCTCACAGAAGACAATACAGACTAGTTGGGGGGAAAAAGCCTGGAATAAGAGCCAAGAGGTGTAGGTTCTAATCCCAGCACTGCCAATAGGCAGCTGTGCGACCTTGCAGGGAAGTTACTTAACTTCTTTGTTTTTTGGCCTTAAGGAAATGAAGATTTTGGAGCAGATGATGTGATCTTAAGCTTCCTTCCAGCTGGAAAATGCTATGATTCGGTCTAGGCTAATACCAAGTCCATAAGGACACAAAGCAGTCATGCTAATGGCTATCCTTTCCAAAACAGTTAGGAGAAAAGAAGTTTTTCTCCCACTTTAACTCTAATTACCACTACTTACGAAGTTAGTTGTTCAACCCAGCACCCATATATACATTTCCCTTTGTTGCCCCTATTTCTATTTCTGTGGGGGAGAAAAGTCAGGAGGTAGGAACAAGCAACATAGTGTGTGTGTGTGTGTGTGTGTGTGTGTGTGTGTGTGTGTGTGTGTAATAGAGAGGGAGACATGATGGGAAGCAGTGGCAAATGCTTGCTGACTGACCACGCATACGCATTACAATGTGTCTAAAGTGGTAAAACTGGATCAGATAAAACTGGAAATGAGTAAGGGGAATGTATGAGCTCAGTTCTGAAAAAAAGTCACTTGAATATGAACCAGCTCACAATGCTATGATTATTGAACACTTGAGTTTTGAACAACACCAAGCCTTGCCACATGAAGTAGCAGTAACAACAAAATGTTTTCTTAGATGTATATGTGCCTGCCTATAAATGAAAAACATTTATGAAAGGTTTCCTTGTAGTTCGTTCAAAGGAGGACAGAAAGGGCACGGTTGTTATAGAAGAGTGTCTGTTCTACGTACATTCGAAAGAAACTATGTCCATAGTATTCTCCAGTGGTGTATATGCCACAAGTAAGAAAACACTCGGAGAACTACTGAGAAGCCTGGGCATGAGGAACTTTGAAGTTTCTCTACTCCTACTCTCTCAGTAGATCATTAAGCTGTCTGGATCTCCACGCTCTCATCGTTAATGAAGACAGGGGACTACAAGGGATTTGCTGAAAGACAGACATAGAGTGTGTTGGAAGACCTGGCCCAGAAGATAAAAATAGACCTCCCACCATAATTTCTATCCATCCAGAATAACCAATTTGCTTTAATTAACTCAAACGTTCTGGGAGGCACTAAGAAAATACTGAGCTTCTAGAAAGAAATAAGGGCTAAGTAAATAGGGCTTCTTCATCATTTCATGTGGGTGTAAAATAAAGGCAAGAGCAGAACCTCATTCTGGGTTCTTCAGTGATCAGTTCAACCAGAAACCAGAATTCCCATTATCAACTCTCCTGAACCAAAATAAAAAAAATGTTTCTTGTAATTAAGGACATCTGAAAATTTTCAAGGGGCCTCTAGCTACCCCTTCCATTCTACTTCCCCCTACACATTAGCAACGCCACCAAGTTGCCATCAATCAAGTTGAGTTGTTCTTTACTAGTTCCTAATTATGAAGCAGCCTACACACACACACACACACACACACGTGCACACGCATGCACACACACACACACACACACACACACACACACGAGCCCCACACTCATTCTACTTAGAATGGAGGGACAACTGCATATCATTCATCAGCCAAACATCTTTGCTTTGAATGTTGCATCTTTCATACTAACTGAGCAATTACAAAGAAATAAAGGAAATCTTCCTAACTATTAAAATCAAACACAGACTTGGCATGCATGGCTTTCACCTAAATTTAGTCGTCTTGGCTATTATGGGCTATGATTACAGACAGAAATCAGTGTTATAAACCTCAAAGAGCGAGAGTTATTTCAAGTGATCAATCCTTAATAAAAAGAAACCCTTTCTAGTGTTAAAGACAAGTGAAAGGTCTCTGCATCTTCAGTATGAAATATCAGGATTATAGATAAAAAAGTTACTTAAAATATGCCATAACATTTCATTTAAAATATAATTAGAACGTCTGGTCCACGTTGAGATTATTACTGTAAGTGTAATTGTTAAAAAGGTATCAAAAGACTGATTCTATTGAATTGGCCTCTAGTCATTGTGTTCTCTCCCGGAGCTTTCTGTTTGGCAGTGAGAGCATGATTTCTAAACTACAGTATTCTTCTGCATTTTTTTTGGTAAATTTTCTGCTTGTGTTTTTTAGACAAAGAAAAAAATCACCAGTTTATAAAAAAGGAGCCTGAAGAGTTTTGCTCCTGAAGTACAGACTTGCGTTTTTATAAAAAGGATATGGTTTCTTGCTATAAAAACCTACCAAAAGGTGTCAGACCTGAAAACAAATTCTCACAGTGTTTGTAGTGTTGGTTGCTTACAAGGCATTCAATAGAACAGAGCTAGATGGATACCATACTATTCATGTACCACTTTGTATGTCAGAAAGCCTCCTGGAGGAATCAGATATGTGACATCACTCAAACTGAACAATTGCTTATTGATTCCAAATTTCCCCAGCAGAGGGGTTGACCAGGAATCCACTGTGCTTTATAAATCCTACTACTGAAATCTGGGCAGCTTTTCACCCAATTCTACCTCATCTCTTTCAGCTATAGTCCTAAGCACATGGTGTCACGTTATAAGTAGCTGGTGTTTCTCCTCCTTGACAGACAGGATTAGTGCTAGACAATACACTGGGGGCTCAATTAAGGGCAAAGAGTGAGGCCAAGGATCTGACTTGCCAGGCTCCTGAGATACTCCAGCATTCTGAAGATACAGAAGCAAGGGACACTTAGGTTTTTCACTCTTAGATCTGCATATGAATGTTTCCCACACACACAAACATTTTAAGTGATATGTATGTAAACAGTCTTCCACATAAGAAAGACTAGCATCTGAACAAATTGAGTGGGGAAAGTACAAAGGCCCCTAAGCATTCAGTAGAAAGGTCGTGAACTAGCACATTTTGCAGTTCTGGAAAGTCACTCAAAAGGATGCTTATCAATCTATCTCTCATAATTGGTAATTGTGAATTAGTGGCCCAGAGGAGAAGTCAACAAGAAAATAAACCCTACGTACTACAGAGTGTTTCTGAAAAAGAAGAACAACAACAATAACAAAAATGTTTAAGCACCAATAGCCTTGTTGGTCACTTGAGCGAATGCATTCTGCTGTAATGACAGGTTTCACATGGAATCGCCCAGTGAATCAGAGTCATCCAGTGACAGTGGGAGGTACAAGTCCTGTAAGAAGAGAAGACACAAAGTTAACTCTCCTGTACTTGGTACCTTGAGTTTTGAAATGGTTCTACTTGTTTGAAATAGTATTTTTCTGATTTTGTTTTTAAAATAATTAATACATTCACAGGGAGCTCTTAAAGTACATGAAGAGATAGCCAGTATTCTATATTAACGTGTTTCTTACTCAACTTCCCTTAAAAGTTAATATCTTGTAGATTGGTGTGTTCTCATTTGATTCTTATTCTCTCTCTCTCTCTCTCTCTCTCTCTCTCTCTCTCTCTCTCTCTGTGTGTGTGTGTGTGTGTGTGTGTGTGTGTGTGTGTGTGTGTAAGAACTACAATGCTGAGGGGGCAATACAATAGCAAAAAGCACTTATAAAATTGAATTGAAGCAAAGCAACAGACAGTAGAACTGACTCTGTAACTGGATTTGATTCTCAAACACGTGCCTACAGTGCAAATGGCTCACCAACAAAAGCGTCTTTGAGCTGCAGACTCACAGACATGCGCAGTGGGGCTTTGAAATTTTGATCCTCCATAAATATTATAACACTCTCAAAATCAACTTTTTCGGAAACTCTGGAAATGAATCAAAGGCTTATAATAAAACAAGAAGCATGTATTCAAGAAAAATGGCTGAGTTTAAGTAAAACTAGTAAGATTTTTGGTGTCCTGGCTTGCCCTGTTTTTGCTTTCCCTCTACCAAACTCCACAGTATCTTTGAAAGCCAGCAACCTCCAATAGTCACCAAACCTGTAACCTAAGAGCCACTGAGTAACACAGTTAGGGTGGGAGAAACCACAACATCTTACTTCCAGAGAATTGTCGTGTTGACCTGAGTAGGATCTTTGTGGAAACTCCTTCTCACAGGATTCAGTTCAGAGAACACTTGCTACAATCAGCATTTTCAAGAAGCATCAATCAATACAATTGCTTAAAATTATAACATCATAGCCAGGCTTGGTGTCATGTTGCATGCCTCTAACCCCAGTATTTGGGAGGTAGACATAGGTAGATATTTGTGAGTATGAGGGCAGTCTGGTCTTTACAGCAGGTGCCAGGTAGTCAGGGCTACATTGTGATACTCTATCTAAAAAAAAAATGACTTTCTGTAAAGTGTGATTGTGTTCAGGAGTAAAAGTTGGGGTAAATAAAACATCTAAAGACTCTACAAGGAAAAACTGTAAAAATTAGAAGTCCATGGGGAACTTTGAATCTCTCTAACATATATTCCTGGGAATCCAAGTAGCGAGCTACAGGTTAGTTACTGAGTGCCTCTGTCAGCCCAAGTGACTTTGGGGTCCTGTGCAAGCAGAAAATAAAGGCTAAAGTACAGTTGCCAACCACTTGATAGACTGTTGAAGTCATGACACAACATTCACAGAGACCATCAACAACCAAGGTCATCAACAAATCAAAACATTTAAGGAACTCGAGAAAATCCTTTTGAATCCAAATTTTTACTATAAGAAGTAAATGCAGGCATCCCGAATGGAACATGGACACAGAGTTCACTGCTGGAATTCATGTCCTACAACAAATATTAAAAAGAGCTCCTCGAGGGGTTATGATAATAATTCAGACCCACATTAATAAAAAAAATCGGTAAGGCAAATTTACAAATATATTCCAGAGACTGTATACACTGTTTTGTAATTCTTTTCATTTAATGTTGATTGAAAATATGTTCATATTTTATCATATAGATTTGACATTTATAACATAAGGTTATAGGATACATATAGATAATAAAAATAATTGCTATAGAGAAGCAAATATCTATGGAATCTTATAATTATTTTCTTGTATGAGAAGGGCAACTAAATGCACTTCCTTCATAAAGTTTTATTTAATTCAGTCACTTTGTAGATGAGATTTGTATATATGTTTATAAAGATTGTCTTCTATGTTCATATAACCTGTCTGTTATGACGTATCCATAGATATATACATTCCATTTTCTCTACCCCTCGAGTCCTTCTGGCAACCACTGTTTCATTCTCCATCTCTAGGTATTTGATTTTTTTTTCTTTTAAAAAATTCCACACACAAGTGAGATCATGCAATAGTTTTCTGTGTCTGGTTTATTTCAAATGACAACTGTACGATCTGGTAATTACAAAAATGTGTTGATGGACATTTTGTGTATAAAGACATAATTTGTATGTTTATAAGAGGCCCAAGGAGGGGGAAAGAAATGGTGCTACACTGTCGCAAAAAAAAATTAAGACAGAATTTAAATAAAGTTGGTATTAATCTAGATTATATCAAGAAAGCAATTAAACAATTGAATGTTGAGCTGAATGTTGAAGGCTACTGTTTCACCAGGATATAAAGTGACCTTTATATTATTCATAGGCTTGTATATTTCCTGAGAAACACTCATGGAGTTCACTAAATTTCAGTATCCATCTCATTTCTTGTCTTTTAACAAAACTCAGGAAAATAAAATGTAATTATTGGCCTCATAGTTCAAAAGATTTTAGAACTAGAAGAACAGGTAAAGATCTTGTAGTCCATCTCAAGACGCTAAGGGTCTTGCTTATTGGTCTCTCATTATTCAATTTGAGGTATTGAAATTTTCAGTTAATGTAATTGGGTTACTGTCGGGTTGCCTATCTTAATTCCACCAGTTTCTGTTTCACATATACTGACACAATGTTCTTAAGGGGCCTATATATATTTATAAATATGTTTTATGGAAGTGTTAGCCCTTCCTTTTGTCATCAGAAATTTGATTTTTCCCTAGTAACAAATTTGCTTTAAGTTCAGTAGTTTTCTAATATTTGTATTGTCATCATAGCTTTTAGCTACAGTGTGCTTTGTATTTAGAGCTGTATATTTATTCATTCATCTTACCCACTATTTTGTATCGTTTGATCTATATCTTCCCATTTTCTTCATCACTTTTCCCTGTGATTCTATTCTCTGCATATTTGAATCTTTTAGTCTATATTGTTTCTGTTTTAGACAACATAAAAACGGGTCATGCCTTCCAAAAATGATTCTGGCAATCACAGGCTTTTAATTTGAGTTGGTGATTAATCTGTTATGATTAAATCTACTAATATTTAAAGCAATTAATGATAAATAGGAATTATACCAGGTATCTTATTCTTTTCTGTCTTTCCTCTTTCACTCAGTATTCAATTCTTGGTTTAGTGTTAAATGCATTTTGTCTGGCATTGTTGATTGTTTTTAACTATCTTTTATTTTTAAATGGTATCTAATAGCTGTTTGCTTGGTGGAAATAATTATACTAGATTATTGTTGCAGACTTTACCTCAAAAATATGAGGAGAGGTTAAGGGTAGAATTGTGAAAACTCTACTTGCAATGGCTGTGACTTAGAAATAGTAAAGATCAGGTCATGGGGAGAATCATTAGGAATAAACCTGTAAATGAACTGCTTCTATACCTCTATCAGTTCATTTTATATTGAAAGCCTGAGGGGGTTTGTAAGGGAAGAACAATGTTCAGGAAAAGTAATTGCCTCGGCATTCTGTTTTTGTTGATTGATATGTAGAAATACCGAAACGCAGAAACACACATATTGCTTAACAACACAAATAATTTGCACCTGAAATTCATTTGCTTAGTCCCTTGGAGCCCTACAGAACAAAATGTTTGTAGCAAATACAGCTGTGCTGGCAATACTACTGCATTAGAGAAAACAAAAGTCAGTCTTTGGTCCAAGGAGCTTATAGTCCAAAAGAAGTCTGGAAGGACATTGGGGAAACCTAGCTTCTAGTTAGGTTGGCTATTTTTCCAACACACCCTGTGCTTTCTTAGTGGTATAGCATTGCTCTTCCTGATGTTTTAAAGCTCCGGCGGCTGTCTCACCAGCCTTTTCAAAGCTTAGCCAGTCTTCAAGGCTCCAGTTAAACAGCACCTCTGTGAAGTCTTTGCCAGTTCCCATCTTCCTTGGGTCCCCATCAAATGTCCTCCCCCCGTTTTGTGCTCTTCCTTGTATTACCCAAAGCCACATAAATTCTAGCGAATGGTGCCTGTGATCTCAGGACAAGGCCCCTACTTTATTCATTAAATGTCTTTCTGACCAAAGAAATGTAGAAATAGAAGTGAGTGCATATTTAAACGATGTTAGTTATATGTTCAGGCACTATATCAGATAAATTTTCCTTTCGTTGCCATTTTGCAGAAAATTCTTCAAGTTTAGAATTGTGGGTGAAATCACTGTTCTGAAAATCATTTTAATCTAAGAGTTCGTCTACGTTTCTACATTTTTAAATATCTTTGACCTGGGATTAGTTTCAAAAGCAGTCTTCAGTAAATATTTGTTAAATCATACCAAGGCTGTCATTAATCTCTTAACTTTTGCCCTCATCTGTAAAATGGGAAGGCTAGCTATCTGTCCTTTCTCTTTCACAGGGATATTTCAAAGAGAAGCAAGAACATGGTTTGTGAAAGGTTAAAGCATTATGGAAATAAAAAATGAAATGTTGTTCTCATTAACTACCTTAAGATGTACTGCATGTCCGTATTGCGGCACTTGAGTATGCGGACTTTGGCTAACCCCATTGCAGCTGCATTAAAGAGGATTCTCCATGAGCTGCCTAGGAGAAGCCAAGCATCTGATTACAGCTTAGAGCCCCAGCACAGCAATCAAAAGTTACCAAGGGGATGCTAGGACATCTAGATTGTTTCCAGTTGCATAGGAGGAAAGAGATTGCCTCGGCCACCTGCTTCCTGTCTCCACCATGACTCACACCTTTCAGGTCCACTTGGACAGAAGTTCAGCTGAGATCTGTTCTGGCCACTGCCCAGGGAGATTGGTGCTTCTAAGGCTCAGGTAGCAAGCACGTGAAAGGACAGATGCAAAGCTCAGACCTGAGATTAAGGAAGGACTGAAACAAGGTCTCAACACACTTTAAGCTTATTCCAAAAAGTCAGCTTAATCTCCAGTGTTGACCATGTAAATGGGAGGCCATTGCTTCCTGATAAGATGCACAGAAAGGTATGTACATCTTCATTTCTAGAATGTACTGTCCTGAACGATAAAAATCGCAGGAACCTTTCCAGGTCAAAAAATACTAAAAGAACACTGCCAGTGAATGTATTACTTGATCCTAGATTAGATCCTGGACCAAAAAAAGAATGTCACTGAGCAATTGATAAAATTGGAATACAGACTATAACCACTTTATATCTTTCTTGACTAACTCTCATGATGTTGAAAATTGTGCCATCGTTATAAACCATTTTTGTCCTTAGGAAACCTACATCGGGTGTTCCAGTGTAATAGGGCATGCAACTTAGTCTCAAGTATCTCAGAAAAATGGCAAAAAGTAAAGGTTATATGTATTCATATACATATATAGAAAGAAAAAGAGAGCACCAAAAACAAGGTAAATGGAGGAAAACAGAAATGACTGACAAATGCGCATTAAGAATGCATAACTCAATAAAATCAATAAAAAGAAAATAAAAAGGAATATAGGATCGCTATTATTATAATTCCTCTGTAAATTTGAAGAGATAAAAAATGTCTTTAAAATAATATTATACCAAAGTCTAGAAGTATATTTAATTTGAAAGTTTGATTAGAAAAGTACATAAACCGTGTTTGCTTTTCAGTTTTAAGAAAAATTAATCTTAAGAGTGCAATATACTGAGAACTCTACAGAGAAGATAACAACACAGCCCTGACAATTCTCCCACCTATGGCAGTGACTAAATTTGTTTACAGAACTCTGTGGACAAATAAGCAAGTCACAGGTATCTACAAGTTCAACCAGGAGAAACAAATTCGATAATGCCAAAACTCACCTGAACGATTAACAAAGAATGGATTCTCAACCTAAGTGAACTGGACGTACATGGCAGTTGAATGATACAAATGTGCAGGGAAAATGCCCAGGATGCTTCTGGCGCTTAGGGAAAGGCTGATGGAAAGTGCTGGCATTGGCGTAGAGCCCACTTCCCAGAAAGGAATGTAGTTGCAGAAAGGCATAGGGTGAAGGCACCCTAAGACGGAATGTAGTCTAGAAGGATCTTCATGACACTGAAATTTCAGAGAGTTTGCTTCCATCTTGTAACATCTATATTAACAAATTTTTCTACATAGTAAACAACCAAAAACTGACTGGCAAGTGATTTTCACCCATCTTACAATCTCCCACACGGACTACAGAGACAGTTGAGCATTTTCTGAAATCCAGTAGATCAGGAAGGACAATAAAACGGTGCTGGTCAGGACCAATATAAGAAATAAAAGGGGGTCATTAAAGAAAAGGAATGAGTATTATCAATAGCAGGGCATGCAAAAACCAAATTAAAGCTAAAAGCAAGCTAAAAGTGTGCTAAAAAAGATAATGATAAAACGTATCAGATAGTGGTATGCTATGAAATATTTTGACGTTTTACATGGTGTGTGCGTGTGTGTGTGTGCACTTTCATGTACCACAGCACACATACAGAGTTCAGAGGTCAACATTTAGGAGTCACTTCTTTCCTTCTACCATGTCTTTTCTGGGGACTGAGCTGAAGTTGTCATGTTTGGTGACAAGGGTCTTTACCCACTGAGTCATCTCTCTAGTCCTGCTGTTAAGTATATAGCAATTGACTTTCTATGGAGAAAAATAAAAGTCTTGATTTATTTGCTGGTTTCTATGGTCCAAATAATTCTGCTGTGACCAAGCTAAGGTTAAGTGCATGATGTCACTACACATACAGGTAAAAAGCAAGGTATAATGTGTGTGTGTGTGTGTGTGTGTGTGTGTGTGTGTGTGTGCGTGTGTGTGTTTGTGCGCACCCATGAATGTGCACGCATGTGTGCCCAGTTAGTATTATGTAATTTGTATTTATGTTTTCAGGCTTGACCATTTGGTATTGGATAATCAATTGGTGTGCTCTTCCTTGAGGAATACTATTTTTTTCTGCTCTCAGCATTCCTTTGTTTCCTGTCGGAATTCTTGGTACTTCAACTTCATGGAGTCAACAAGAGTAAGTTCTGACTTCAAAATGAGCTTTGAAAGTACAGTGGGTGAGCAAACCTCTATGCCACCTTTTAGGAAACTCTGAGTGCAAAGGAGTTTAGTAAGGTATAAGAGACATAATACCTTGTGCTTCCGAAGACTTCCCGGACTTGTAGGTGTAGAGATCGGAGACTGCTTCGACTTAGGTGTTGACAGCTGACTGCTGGAGGTTCCATTTGCTAACGCAAGGCAAGAGAAAGGGAAAAATGAAAACCAACAGCGTATAAAATAGCACGTTCTTGCTTCTCCTAAGACACTAAGAGCATTCAAACAAGGTACAATATCAAATGATTAGATAGAAGCAAACTAAAGTGAAAAGAAATTCATTCATCCAATGCCCCAAGAACTGCTGTCCTCAGTTAATGGTGTCCAGCACAGAGCAAGGCATCCAGAACCTTCACCCTGCCCAGTGCTTCTCAGTAACAGGAATCTACTTCTTTTCCAAACTTTTTCATTTTAATCACCAGATTTGATCTTCACGTCTCTGTGAGGTAGTTCGAGAAAGCATTACTTTATTTTTTGAGCTAAGAAAGATAAGACACAAGGAATGCATGTGTCTTACATTAAGGGGAAGAAATATGAGCACTTTGGGCTAGGATATATCCCCTTTGGAGTCAGCTAAATGAGACTGATGTATGACAGACCCACTATCGATTTCCACACTGTCTTATTCACCTCCTCGTCCTTTACTACCACGTCTTTCATAGAAACCAAAGAAAGAAGGAAACAACAGAACAAAGAAATCACACAAGGAAAGAAACAGAAATGAGAATGAAGTAAATTGGAGAAATAGAAAGTAAATTTTAAAGAAGAGCTCAAACGTACTAAAGTGAAGCTGAAGAGAAAATAGATAATAGTAGAAGGTCTGTAATGGAGACAAGAAAGAAAAGTAGATTAGAATAAAGGACTGCAAACAGAGCAAAATGTATAGAGACCTGGAAATTAATTCTAGGTAACTGTGAACAGCACCAAGATACAGCCCCAATCTGTCTCCAGTTAAGAACCTGATAGAAACGAGATGATTGAGGTTCTAACATCTCTGTTTTCCACTTCAGTTTCAAGCTGTTTTCCATCCCCCTGTTAATGAGCACTTTTAATATGAAAAAAAGAAAGGTGTCACATCAAAATGTGATAATTAAATGGTTTTCCATGACATGTACTGCCTTCTCACATTGAAATATTTTTTTAATCATAGGACCTACGTTGTTAATAAGATATTCTGAAGTATGCAATTAAAACAGAGGGGAGTGACTCAGTAGTGCACAGTGGAATGAGGCAGGGGGAGAGAGAACACTTAAGTACAAAGATTGCCTAAGAATATTGTGGTTAGTCCCACAGACACGGTTTAAGCTTCTATATCATAACTATTCCCTGATTATATAATCCTCTCCACTGCTTATGATAATATTTCCCTGTTTTCGAAAACACACCCATCAATGGAAGACACAGAAGTTGCACCATTGTGATGGCTGCTGAGACTATCTATGTTTAAATGAGCTAAAAAATAAAATAAAACCACTTGGGAACCCACTGACTGACTTTATTCCGTTATCTTTCATTTACTTCTTGAGAAGTTTTCCTCCTTGTCATTTATACCATTGGCTAACAGCCATGGAACACCACCTATGAGACAAAGATTAGATATTGGGGTGTCAGAAAAAATACATCACTTCCTCGGGGAGGGGGAGCAAAAGCAAGGATTAAGTCAAGTAGGTATGTAGATAAAGGCCTGCACTGGATATTATTTGAGCCCAAAGGAAAGAATTTGTAATAAGGGGAATTGGAAGTAAAGAAGAAGCAACATTTAAGTATTTTGAAAACCAAATCTGGACTAGGGAAATGTCCAGAGTCTGAAAGTAGACTCATGGATGCCAGAGACTGGGGATGGGAAAAGGCAGGGAAGTGGAATGCTTTTGCTAATGAATTGGAAACTCCATTTTGGAGTCACAGTTATTCTGGCATTAAATCATAATAATTGTGACAAACTTTATAGCTAACTAAAATCCACTATGTGCTTTAAATTAGTTCACATCAAAAAAAACTATGTTTAAGAAAGTAAATTGAAACTAGCAAAGTAAAGAGGAGAGAAAGTGTTATTCTAGGCATTACAATTGCACCAGAAGACAAAAAGGTGTGAAAGAATACAATACGTCTTCAAAGTGCAAGTAGCTGCCAATGGCTCAAGGGTTTGGTCACAGGAGGGATACTCAAACAATACAGCAGAAGACTAAGGATGTGAGCCAGATTTTGGTTGGTTTGTTGTGTGACCCACTAAGATATTTGGGGTAGCTCTTGGGCAATGGAATAGACCTGTAATCTCAGCCCTTGACAGTCTGAGGCAGAATGATGGCAAATTTAAGGCCAATGTGGTCAACTTAGCTGCACCTCAAGACTTTTCCAGCAATTTAAGGGCTAGGGAAGGAACTAGGTAGTCCTGGATTTATTTTTCAGTTTATAAAATAAAAGTTTGGGTTTGATTGCTAAAGGGAAACCTCAGGAGCATTTTAAACTGAAATTCACACAAGCAAATTTAAACTGAAAACTTACTCCAGCCTCTGAAAATGAAACTAGGAATGGATAGGATGGGTTCAGAAGAGAAGCAGACACAACAAAAGATACAGCAGTGGCCAATTAGTTTTCTTAACTCCAACTAAAGCAATATGGAAGGAAAATAGGGACTCTTGAGTAGATAGAGTTTTGGAGGTCAGACAAGGAGAGGGTATTGTGTTCACTTATTCTGTGAGCCAAATAAAGAATGCTACCTGTACCAAAATGCAGTGTTTAAGTACCAGAGTTTGCTCTCTGAAAATTAAATGACATGCTCTAAGAAAGGCAAGACTGGGGTACTGCAAAAAGTCACTTATTCTCTGTAGGAAGGAAATGAAGGAGTTAATAGTTGAAGGAGTTAATGGACTGTCTACATCGCCCAAAGGCTTTCCCAGCAGAACCTGGCAAAAGCTTCCAGAACGGAGCAGTCATAGAGACCTATGCAAACGGACATAGTCAAGCCTTGCCCCAATGCTCTATCTTGAGGTCTGAACACTAGCAAGGTTGAGTTTGGACCTTCATTCCATACGGTTGCTGTATACTCTAGACATTCTCCTTTTCTCATACTTGTCCCCCAACTACGAAGGGTGGCTACTCTGCTCCAACATTAAAATTCCCCTCTTCATTTTCTCATTTATATGAGAATGAACTCAGTGACCTTGACAAAACATAGAAAATTGTCACTCACAAGTATGTACGTCTGTCAGTTTTCGTTTACTGAGTACAGATCTGAGTACAAGTTCTTCAATTCCCAGATCTTTTTCTCCGTATCCTCAAAAACTCTTCTCAACCAACAACTTAAGATGTACACAAATATACACTCCATATATGCTTTTCTCTACAGTCTCTGATTTGTTTAAATGATTATATACAGGAGTGATATACTGTTTTCATGTCCCTACATACTGAACCAATCTGAAGTTATCCATAAAAGATAAAGGCCTTCATCATTGACCTCCTACAAGTATGGGCATGGGCTTTTCATCATTTAACTGCCATGGACGACCTTGTTGAAGAACTGAAGATATGTTCCCATACTTTCTCAGAAATTGCTGATGGGGTAAAAATCTGAAGATGGACATAAAGAAATGAGACTTACAGACATGAACTAGCAAACTTAAAGAACCCCTGCACTTAAAACATAGATCAATTTTTTATATATATATATTTTTTTGAAAGTAATTTTATTAAATTATAAAAAGTTTCCATTTACGCCCCTCCTCCCAACACCCTCCCACTCCCCCCCTCCCTCTTCTCCTCCCTCTTTGTCCCCAAGGGCAGTCAGGGTCTCCTGCCCTGTGGGAAGTCCAAGTTCCTCCCCCCTCCCGACACTGGGACTGGTTTCCTCTGCATAGATCAATTTTTTTACATGCACATTTTATCTTTAGACTGTGAGAGAAACTTTGAAATGACACAATTTTGTACGGATTCTAGAGCAACTTCTTACAAATATCAAATAAAAGAAGAAGCAGGATGCAGTGGAGATGCTGTCTGGTGAACTTTGTGTGTGCTTTTGGACTGGCAAATCCTGAAAGAACAGTGGTTCTCAACCTGTGGGCCATGACCATTTTACAAGGGTAGCATATCAGAGCTCATTCATACCAGATAAATACATTACAATTCATAACAGTAGTAAAATTACAGTTATGACCTAACAATTAAATAATTTTATGGTTAGGGTTCACCACAACATGAGGGACTGTGTGAAAAAGTCCAAGCATTAGGAAGGTGAAGAACCACTCACTGCTCTAGAGAGGCTATCATATTGCCTTTTATCTTAGGAGTGATTGGAAGCTTCACCACTGATTGAGAGCCCCCCTTCCCCCTACTATCATTTTTAGCTCTCTAGTAATTGGGGAGCATCTCACTGACTCTTGTCTTTCCTAGTCCACAGAATCACAAAAGTGTCTCACTGCTCTCAGCTTTCTATATAGACCAAATCCTCTCCTGCCTTCTAGTAGAATTCATTTTCCCCTGTACAATGAAGGTGTGCCACATACATTTCAACCTCTTGACCACCTAAAAAATTCAATATTTTTAAAATTAGTATTATTCATTTACCGGGTGTCTATGATGAGTTGACCACAGCACCATCAACCCTCTCCCTGACCCATACACTCCAGGTGGGAGGAAGCAGAGCCAAGATTTGGATTACAGATTTCTGATTCCAAAGCCTACGTGTACTCTTTTCTCTTGGTTTTCAACTTTTGTGACATAGGCCATTCATTAAAAAAACAAACAAACAAACAAACAAAAAACAAATGCTCCCGGGATTTCTTCCTCTGACATTTTTTCCCACAGGAACTGGGGGAAACATGGAAATGGTGGCCGAGAAAAGGGAAGGGCCAAGAAGAAAGCAGGAGCAGCTGTCAGAGCGGGGGCTCATCTTCAAGAAAACTTCTAACTTCTCCGGCCCAAGTTAGAAAGTGGTTAGCCAAAGCTTTTTTTCAATTAGGCAAACCAGCTGGGAACACACACACAATGTCACAAAACAAAAGAACATAGAGGAGCCAGCATGGCATAAATCCCCCCCCATATCCCAGAACTCTTGGAGAAGATGGTTTCTGTGCTCTGTCTGTCAACTTCCTTAGCTCACGCCCCAGCTGTGCAGCACAGTTGCCGCGCTCAACTCCACAAGATCTTTTTCCCTAGGATTTTGGGGAATGATTAGGTCTGTCCTTGCTCCTGCACTAACCTTCGGTTCTTTGGTCCTGTCGAAATGGAAGAAGGCATGCCCCAACAGGATGGCTGGTCAGATTAGTAGGTTGAGCTACCTGGATTTCCAAGGATTTAAACATTACAATAAAATGTGTGTGGAGGGGCTTACTGTGCTAGTCTTCACAGAACGGTAAAAGTGTCCACTTTCAAGTACGGGTAGTCAGAGAAGGAGTGAACAGTATCACCTGGCGTGCAGAGTTCATGCCGAGTTTCCAGGCTGCATGTTCCCTTGTCTGGAGGATACACACATCCCTGAAGACTAAGATATATGTAGCTGCACATAAGATGTCGCTAAGTGGTCCCAAGTGTAGTGATTAAAGGGTTGTCTAGGTAGTGAGAATATAAATTGTATTACACTTTCTTTCTTTCGTTTTTATCCCAGCCCGTATTACACTTCCTTAGTTCAAGTTCTCTTAACCAGAATGACACAAAAAAATGAAGGGCCTAGGCACGTGTTTTGCTTCTAGCCCTTGAAGATCAGATATAAAACTGATTTTAATGCTCATTCATTTCATCCTGACCTGATCATCCATTGGAATAGCAATACTGAGGCACACTCAAAATCAAGCCTGTTTGTTTTGATGTGGCATTTATTCTGAGATACTCAAAGTAAAATCAGCCTACCAAACAATCCATTAACTCTAGAGACCCCCATTAATAGTAGTTTCTCTCTGTTTATTTTAAAAACATTTTATTATATGTGATCTCACACGATTTTCCTGATTACTATTATCTCTTTAACCAACAAAGACACAGAAATTTGAGATTTGCCTTATTTCGAGTATGTAATTCTCCCCCTCCTTTATGCATAATGGCTTCAGGATTTGATCACAGAATCCATTTCACAATCTCTCACTTATCTCCCACTGTGACCCTTGTGAGATTTATCCTCAGTTTTATACTTGTTATCGCCCTAATGCCTTACAGAGGGATATCTCAACCCACAGTTCAGTCAGTTCCACATTTACTTGAATTGGGATGCTCTAAGATTTCTTTAGTTCTGCTCTAAGTAATCCCTGCTTCCTCTGTATTTGCACAAAGACATTTTCTGGAATGCTATCTGAGTGGAGCCAGGGCAGCTAAGATTCACTTCAGAACAAAGTCAAAAGACAGACCTATGGTTGTCACACATCCATTCCAAAGTGCCCTTGGCTGCAGTGTCTGGATTGCTTTGCTTAATTGTTTCTGCTAAATAGAAATGCTTTTGTTCCTCATCCCAGACTCATCCATCAAGAAGCAAGAACTGAGAGCCCAGAAGCAGTTCTTCAGGGATTTGTTCGTTAGGCTGTTTCTCAAGCCAAATTCAATCATAGATTGTGAGATACTGTAGATTTACAAGATGAAATGGGAATTTAAAATCTATTTCTTACCATGTCTTGTAAATTGCAGTGTTATGAATTCTTTAAATAAAATGGACAAAAGTGTTTCTTTTCCTGTTGGAAAACACATTTATTTACCCAACCTTGCATGTCTATAGGTAAAATCAAGGACTTCCCTTATTCTAGGCAAGTGCCTCCCACTGAAATTTAACTGTGGTTGATACTGTAATATTTTAATACAAGTGAGTTTTTTTTAAAGAAGGTGAAGACCTGAGGGGGAGTTTTTGTCTGCCTGCAACCCTGTCAAGGATATCAGTACACCTCGGAGTGACTTTAGAGGAATCAATAGAATCTGTTCAGAGCAGATCATTAGAAACAAAAGCACCAACTTACCTGTGGTACTGTGTTCAATTCAGCACAAGATAATGACCCAGAACCTCCCCCCCAGCATCTCTTGGCCTCCCCACACCCTTCATCTGGAGGTAGAACCTGGGAGAAGGACACTGAGAAGCAAGGACCATTCAAAAGAAATCTTTGTATTCAGCACACTGAGACCCCCACACCCTACCTCAGATGCCTCCTGAGAGGAGTCCTGGGTTCTGATCCTTGAATACTAAATAGTTGTGTGACATTGGGAAGACCTTGAAAATCTGAACTGCCCCTCAAGTTCTCAATGTTAAAAAAATACAGCCTATAGAGTTGTCCTTTTGTAGCTTAATTTATAGTTCTCTTACAATGGACAACAGAGATGATGAAATCGTTTTGCCAAAATAAGGCATTCATACATTAATACAGTAAATAGTCACATTAAAATGTGTTTAATTAGATTTCTGATGTGCTAATTAAGCACAAAATTCAGAGCAATTTCAAAGAACGTAAGAATCTCAATAATTTCTCATATTGGTCACATGCTGAAATGATTACCTTTCAATTGATTACGAAATAAGATCTATCCTATTAATTCTTTTCTTTTAATTTTTAAATGCAACCACTAAATATTTAAACAGCATACATGTGATGATGCCATATGAAGACCACTATTTTGTGAAATTAATAATGCAACTTTCAAAAAGGATATAACATACAAAGCATGCATTATAATCTATATTAGTCCTATTAGAGTCAGTCTCTCAGGAAGGTCAGAACACTCAAGGAAGGCTGCTTAGGCTGACCAAAGGACAGACCAGAGATTATAGTTCTTTCACAGAATCTTGTTGTTTTGTGTCCCTTGGCGCAAGAGCTAAGGAGATAGTTACATATTAAAATGCCAATGTGGGGGTGCGTGTGCCTGTAATATTAGCATTGGAGAGGCATAGGTAGATGCTTCCTGGCACATACTGAACATCTCACCTAATCAGCAAGCCCAAATCCCAGCAAGAGACTTGTCTTTAAAAGCGAGGTGGGCAGCTCATGAGGAACATATGTGTTTGTCTCCAAACAAAATTGTTTTTATATCTCTGAAACGATAGAATTGGTCTTCCTGGGGACACTGGCGACATTGAGGAAGTCATTTATCTTATGCAGGGGAGTATCAGCTTCTATAAATGAAGTCAACATGAACAATAGGAAAAGAACACTCACCGTCTTGGTCGTTACCTGAGTCAGCAGGAGACTTGCTGCGACGCATTGGGCCTGGACTCTTAGCTGATGTCTTTTGAGGTGTTGGGGAAGCTTTCGGGCCAGCGGTGGCAGATGGGTTCCCTTTCATAACTCTGCATTCTAGGGGCAAAATGACACAAAAGGGCCGCTTAGGAGTTATTACTGAGACCCTTAGCTTACCATCAGCATCTCAAACAAGAATGATCGCCACAGACCACAGCACCTAAGTGTCTCATGATTACAAGGTGTTGCTCACTTTTTTGTAGAAACTATGACTATGGTGAGGGAGGAATGGGGGGAATTTCCAAAAGTCTCATGGGGTAAACTAAATATTTAAGTTCCTCAAATCTAGAGAAAGGACAGATATTCTAAATCAAGTCATCTGGATCGTATGTCAGCTTAATCATCTGAAATTGACAAAGCCATACTTGAAAATGGCACCTGTGGAGGCTTGGCATTTATTTTTATTAGAGTACAGGTTGACATACCTCAGATTTCACAGTTGTACAGACGCGGAATCCCTGAGTAAGCTCCTATACATTGTCTATTACTTGCTGCACATTGTGGTAGGCACTCCTTGCAACAGATGTCATGCCATTTCATTCAAAAGGAAGCCTTACTACGCTGTACTGTAGTTACAGAGCCGTTCCTCTTTTATTTTCAGGGTATATTGTAATCCCTTATGCTGGCTTAATAAATACATGGGTTAATAACAACTCTGGTGCTCATTACTCTAGAACACTTATGGGTCTGTAGAGAAGAGTAGACTAAATGTCTCTGCACTTGTCCGAGCTGCAATCTGATGAATTTGGAACACTCTTTCTGTGATCACTCAGCATTCTGAATTAGCAGTAATTTGAGTCAGTGAGACTGGTAATTTATTAGGAAAATAATTATGTTCCTTTCCTTTAAAACGAGAGTACTACAAACTCAATCTTGCCTAGGGCGACAAATCAAGGAAGTAGTAATACAAGGTAAAGTAGCTACATCTCCTGTGTTCCAGTATATATCCTGCAGAATTTTTTAAATGTACTTTTTTTCTTTTTTTAAGTTCTTCTTTCATATGATACATCTCGACCCCAGACTCCTCTTCTCCCATTCCTCCAAGTTTCTCTATATATGTATGTATGTATGTATGTATGTATGTGCGATGTGTGTGCCTGATGCCTGTAGAGGTCGGAAAGTGGTACTGGATTCCCTGAAACTGAATTTATGTGTGGTTGCAAACTACTGTGTGGATGCTGGGGACCAAACATAGGTCTTCTGCAAGTGAAACAAGTACTCTTAACTGCTAAGCCATCTCTCCAGCTCATTACCTACACAGTTTATTTTGTTCTATGATATGAAAAGTAGAATCAAACAACATGGTAGAGGGCAGATTTTTCCTAGAGACCTTCTTGTTGACTCCCACTTTAAGGTACACTAAAAAGACAAGTAAGGATAGTTTGGTCAGTTGAACTTTTTAGGAAACTGAATTGAGAAGACAATTCATTTTGGTCTGTTTTGCTTTTTATTTGTGTTGATGAACTTTAGTTATCAGTGTCAAGAGCCACAGACACAGAGGGGATAGAAAATTGAATACAGCCAGGATTTGGTTAGCTATTTGATGGTCATTTGCCTTTCTAAAAGAAAAACTGTAGAAATGCCACTTTAAAAAAGGACCCTGTCTTGAGTTGCTTATGGATTGTTGACTAGTGAAACTCTCTTTGTTTTTCTCACATTTTACTCGAGTGAGAAATGTATTTTTAGTATGTCTTTCCACCAATATCCCATCCTAAGTTGTGTGACCTAACTTACTTATAACATATTAGACGAAGAGATGTTCAGGTCTTCCCTGAGGCTAACAATCCTATGTAGTTCTAAATCACAACGCATAGAGAATTGAGTAGCAGACACAAAGGTGGGAACTGGGTTTGACACTAAGGATAGAATGAAAAATAAAAAGCTTTCTAAAAATGTGAGACCATTACCACGTATCATAAAAGCCAGAGGAGAATGGCTAGAAAATAATGCATATGTGTAATATCTGTACAGTTCTTAATGCAAAAATTCTTTCTTGATGGTGCAGGTTAGCTCAGTACATGGTTTAAGAAATGTGGTCATTATTGGGGTAGATAGCAAGTTTCAAGTAGCATGAAAGCCTGGGAGATTCAGGTGACCTTTCACTTGGTGTATCATGTATGCAAATACAAAGGAGAAATACTAGCAATATCGACCCTTGTGTTACCATTTTTAAATATTCTCCAGGACACATAAGCTCATGGAAATCCTAAGAGATGAAAAGGAGCAGAACAAAAGTGAAGCAAGCCCAATGACAGTGTTTACCGTTCTCATCCAAAGAAAAATCGTCTTGAGCATAGCGGAACTTTTCGGGACCACAAGCAATGAATACATCATCATCTCCAAAGAAATCATGGAGACAGGTGACCTGTGGAGAAAGCAGAAATGCTGGGTTAGTGTTTGATGTCCTTCTAACAATCACGTCACATCATGTGGATGACGTACACAACTTCACAGCTAGGCCATCATCACTATCAGGAATCTTTCTCTCTTCACCACTCCTTCTTTATCACAAAATACTTACCACATCCATAGTCTGTACTATGATCCCTAGCGAGTGAACACAAATGTATCATTGCCTGTCCACGTATGCTTATCTTGTCTCCATGCCATCAAGACAAAGATTGAGATGATGCACAACTGAAATGGCTCCCTCTGAAGAAAAGCCAGCTATTTCAGGTCTCAACAAATGTTACTTCTTCTAGCAACTTAAAGGCAAGGTACTCATGGTCTAGGCAAACTTTAGGTCAAGTTTTAGGCTAAGGCGAGTGACAGAGATTGTCTACAGCTTCTGATGTATAGACCTTGTAGCAAATCCGAAGTTGGAAATTCCTCTCGTCATATTCACATGTTCTAAAGAAAGCTGGACTCTTCATTTAAAAAATTACCCAGTATAATAATAAGTCAGAGTTTCATTCTACAGGGAAAAATCTAACAGAGGAAATCTGCTCTGACCACTTTAAACTGCATCACGGGCAATGAGTCCCATAAAGCTGTGTTCCCAGGACCCTTGAATATGATATGCATTGCTACTCCTTCACAGTGGAGACAGTCTCCCAGTTCCCTTCTGAACAAATAAATGAGGGTCCCTGGGAAAGTAGCCTGATCCCCGGAGTCTCCTCACTTCTCAGCTTTCCTAATTGCATCTGTTAATTAGTCCAGCACATCAGGCAAACCCCAGGAGGAACCACAGAGTCAAAAACATGCTTATCCAACTTCTTGGCTTGTAAGTGTTCAAAGCCTCTAATTGTTGTAAGAATCTCACTCAAGCTGCCAGCAATGGCTTTGTAAAGGCACAGGCCTCGCAAACTAACAACAGCTTGCTATGTGCAAAAAGCAGTATGTTGCATTTGGAAAAAAATGTTTATATTAATAACATCATCCCCCGCCCAAGATCTATTCAATCTGTTTCCCCAGCCAAGATGATTGCAAGCCTTACACAAAGAAAGAGTTGCTTGAAGATTACCCTTTATTGTCTAAGCCCCCCAGTCATCTATGGGATGCCAAAGAAAGGGAGATTTGGAGGACTGCCAGGGTCACTCCTATTAAGCTTTTTCCTAGTTTCGAGCCTCAACCTCATCAAATACACCCATGCCCCTTTCAGCTGCCTTGTCTGTCCTTCACTTCTGTACTACACAATCATATAATGGCAATCAGAGTGTCCACTGATTGCATCCTTACTCTAAGATAGGACATAGATTGACCTGAGTACTTCCGAATCTGTCATCTCATTTCAGACTCAGAAAACACTATGGCATTCACTATTTTAGAGGGGAGAAGCCTGGACCCAGAAATAAGTAAATTACCCATGAGAAGACAAAGAACAATAAATCTAAGCAAACATCTAATCTAAGGTGCCTCTCATCATCCAGTATGATGAGCATTTACATAGACCTTAGGAACTGACAGACAGGAAAATAAGACTCACAGATATCACATGACAGAGCTCATAGTCGGATGGACTGACACACACTGAAAACAGTACATTTCAACTTAGCTTCAAGGACAAGAGAACCTATAGGTGTCATGGAAGCTATTGATTAACAAGCACATCCAAGCGACCCAGTCTCTGGTTGACAAGATTAGTTCAAGAAGCATCTGCATGTGGTAATTGGAACTAAAGTTCCAATAAAAGAGCTTGGTTATGAGCTCTACTCCAGACCTCCTGTTAATGCCTTGGACACCGAATCAACACAATCTGGAGATTTTAACGTTCAGACACTAAGCGGGTCTGCGTTGTTGTCTTGATTGGGGCTGCCCTTGCTTTCATTTTTGTTTGAATGAGGAGTGCCTCACCCTTGAACTTCCCTGGTCATCTCCAGGAATTAGTACGTTCTTTCAAGACCTGATTTGACTTTCATGGACACTTACCTAATCCTGCCCACTATACCACACCACATCTCCGGATTTCATTGTAAATCTTGATGAAGAGTTAATGGCCTAATAATAATTTAGTTTCAGTTGTATCTGTTTAGACTGCATACAAGGAAGAAGGGGAGAAGAACTTTTCGGGTGAGGGGTGTTAATGGATATAAAAAAGTAGAAAGAGGAAATCAGTTTTGGATGGGAACAGATATTATTAACATTTAGAGACTTTGAAAAGTAACTAAAGCAGAAATTTAAGAAGAAGAACTGTCTATAGATTCATACATTGTTTTTCACAGAGATATCTTAAATGTTAAAAAACTTAATATTTAATGGGTGATTTTTATCTCAGTCACATGCCATGATATCTTATTCTAGGATATGAACCCAGTACAGATTGTTAGAGTACTTGCAGTTACAACTACCCAGACTCTCCTGCTCCTCTCAGGCTGTGCAAAAAGCTTTAGACTAGCCCTCCCTTTGGGGATCTTATAAGAAAGGCAATGTTCCTTATGCTTTTGACAAACTCACAATGGTGTTCTGGCTTCAAACACATTCATGTTGCAATACAGCTGTTAAGCATCAGGTTTCCTATGTGATCCTGCTCCCTATTTTACTGGCTTCAAAATGTAGACAAACACATCTTGTGTATGTGGATACCCAGATTTTCCAAATACTTTTGATGCTGAGACACAGCAGCCCCCATCTTTGTTACATGATGAGAAAATAGAATATTTTCCATCTTAAAAAATGAAAATCACAAGGCACAAAGAATCAAAACTTCCCAAGGTTTCAAAATTGGCTCATGAAAGAGTTGGGACTAGCACTCAGGCATCCTGCTTCAATTCAGAACAAAATAATTTATTTGCCTGAAAGAACATGACTTGCTATAACTCTAAAACTCCTGGGAGACTAGAGAGTCCAATATACATTAGACTGTCGTTTTGAAAAATGAAGTTTTGTTGTTAACCATATTTTTAATCCATGGACAAGAAAAACTTCTCCCTTTAGTGAAAACTGAGTACATGGTGGAAACCAGGGACAAGGAGAAGAATGAATTTTAAGAAGAAGAGAAAGAAGAAAAGGGTAATAATAACGGGACATAAGAAATAAATCTCAAATGAAATAATGTCTTTTAAACATTTTATGCTAACAATGGCACCAAGTCTATCTTGGCTTACACTTCAAATGCATAATTTTCTAACTAGCTTTCTGAAGCAATCTTTTTAGAACAAAGTGACAACGAATGACCACTCACTGAAATGCCACAGGATTCGCAAAGAATAGAGGTCCTGCCGACATCAGCTCAAGTATGAGTCATACTTGAGTATTTAAGGCAGAGGAGAGAACATATAGGTATGACACCCGTCTTTATATTAGTCAACTACTGCCACAAAATCAATAAGAATTAACTGAGATTAACACTTAACCATTACCTCAGTGCTCTTCATTTTAAAAAAGCAAGTAGGAGAGAGACGCCAGTGCAACTGTACATTAGCACAAACAATATATTATTTGGATGGTCCAGTGTCTTAAATGTCAAAGGACTAGTGGCTAAATGGAGGCAACAGATCACTGTATAGAAGTAGTTTGAGTCTATTAGCTGCACATGGAAAATTCACCGTGATTTGATTTAGGCTTGATTAGATTCTCTGTCCACATATTACAGATAGTGGCCATTTTTACATGTGCCTGCTGCTACTGTATCCCATAATTCATTTGATTAATCTTTGAGAAAGAAATGTTCTTCAGAAGTATTTATAAATTGGTGCGACTCATGTTTGACATGTGTAATATTTTTTTGTGTGTGAAAGCTCAGCTCCCCCCATATTGATCACGATGCACTTTCTAAGGCAAAGGGGCTGCATGAGAAATACAAAAGCGAACAACAAAAGCCCGTGCCTTCACAATTGACAATGTAATAAGCACGTGTGAACTACACAAATAATTAGAATATAACGCAGGCTGTTGTTAGCACTGCTGCGGAGGCACAAAGAGCAAGAGGAAGCATGAAGACAAAGAAGACAATGAAAATAAAGATCACCGTGACCTCACACAGTCATTTAAATACATGACATGAAAGCAAAAGTGAGACACTCTGGAACAAAGAGTGGGACAAGTGGGGGCATAGAGGAGACAAATATGGCAGAAATACATGAAAAGCTTGAATACAACGTGTTTATGAAACCCATCAAGGGTCATACGGCAATAAAAATGTTTTATACAGAGATCTGAGGAAGACTTCACAGGGAAGAAAACTCAAACTGAGTCTGGAAACATAGCTGGGATATAGGTTAATGGAAACAGGAGGTGGTCTAGGCAGAGGTAGTTGTGTGAACAAATGCTGAGAGGCAGGAGCATGCTATTCTCTTAGCAGCTTTAGAGAAACAGAGCTCCATCTTTTTGACTATAGCAAAAAGTTTTACCCCGCCCCAAAAGCTGCACAACACAATAGCCTCCATCCATATGCTAACCTGCTGCACAGACAAAACACACAATTAATTGCCTCCTGGTATAATTCAGGGTGAAGGGAAGGACAAAGAGTGTCACTGAGGAGGGCTGGTCCTGGTGGTGAGGAAGAGGGAACCCCTGTGGCAAAGCAGACAAACCACATTGATTTCTCAGTCTTGCCAACAATGTGCCCTGGCCATAGAGAGTGGCTGGCAAGCTTTGCAAAGTGAGTTAATGAAAGATTCAGTAAACATTACCAGTGAGGCTTTCTAGAAGTTACTGCCACTTTCATTCTGGAACATTCTCTGCCTGCCAGCGCTGGACAGGCTCCAGTCAGCGGCTGACACCCACTTGGCTTCTGAAGCTGTGTAAGGTTTCTAGGTGACCCTGATTTCCTTATCACACTCTTTTTCTTGGAGTTATCCTGAAGTTTTGCTTGTGGATTTTCAGAGCAACATTTTTCTTTTTTTGGCCTGTGCAAGCAGCTTCTTAATTCTGAGGAGCCCTTTTTTTTTTTTTTTGGCACAGATCCCTTTATTCAATACCTGCACT